GCACTTAAGGCTGCCTGTATTTTTTTATATATATATATAGGTATAAACTTATGAAGTATACGTTTTGTAATTTATATATATAATATGCACATAATTATCTGGCCGTGACATTTCAAAACCCAGCATCCTTTCCTTGGTGGCCTCTCCAGCGGCATCAGGGTTTGGCCATTTCTCAGCCTGCTGGGCATTCGAACGAGCTCATACCTCCTTACCCATCTCGGTGTTACTTCCATGGGCACGGTAGCTAAACCAAGGTCTTTATGTGCTGTGCCTTTTACATACAGGCCACGGCAGCCACCCAGAAAGGAAGACGGTAATGCTCAGGTCAGTGCCCGCCAAGGTAAGGGTGTTTTCCCTTGCCAGTGCCAGCCAGCAGCTCTAGGTCAAGGGCTGCAGCAGCTGAAGTTTTTGTGATGCAGCCTGTGTGGTTTGCAGTTGCGATCCTTCACAGCAGGCAGGTACTTGACCCTCATGGAGGTAAGCCTGGAGGGCTTGCAGGCTGATCATAAAAGCTGGTGCCTACTGCCATGCTTTGCTTACGTCGTCTTGATGTCCACCACTACAAAACTCACCACGCTTCGTGATGATAACAGCCAACTGTAAAAAAATCATAAAACCACATGGGCTTCTATGATGAGCAATTCAAGTCATGTCTAAGTCAAATGTTGGGAAAACTGGGAAACCCTTAAACTTCATCAGTTTCTGTTTTGCAGTTAAACAAAGAAATCATCTACATCCAAGGCTGGTGATAAATTTTTCAAACAGGGTCATAAAAAATGAGAGGTATTACATTATGTACACTTAGTAAACAGCCTATACTCGAATTTCACTACCATCTAAAAGATTATATTCCATAGCTCTTTTATGGGGAAAACACATGGAATGGTTAGATTAAGCATTAATAAGAAATAAAAAATTGCTTGCACAACTGTATAGGACTATTTAAAAGAGAAGCAGAAATGTCTCAAGATGAAGCAGCAAGTGAATATTTAAAACAAGTGTATTTTTAAAAATGTTTATTGAAATGCCTTCATTGCATCATGCAGGATACAAAAATCATTATTAGAAAACCTTTATAACCATACTTAGGAGTAAAATCAAAATACATCAGGGAAAAATAATAATTATATAAACAAAAGCAATTTGTTTCTGATAGTGTTCTAAATCATTAGATTACAAGCTGTGATCTGCACAGGTGATAACAATTATCTTGCGATAACAGTCCCTTCTTTAATGATTCAAGTCAAAACAGATGTTTGTCGTGCTAAAGCAACCATATCACCTGTGTATACCACAAAATATTCAACCTGTTCATTAGATACAGGGTTTAAAAAGTATAACAAAAATATTCTGCCAGCATACTTCTGCTTTCAGTTTTTTATTTGTTCCATCAAAAGCTATTAACTTTTCATCACGAAAAAAAAAGGCTACTGTGCTTTCTTCTATTACACAACATAGCACGTAAGTTTTGATTACTGAAACAGAACCTCTTTAAAGTCATAAGAGACTTTCTTGAAGTTCAGTTCAATTAAATAATTTATGTTTTTGCAATATTACTCAAGGACTTGGAAGTTATTTTAAAATGGGAGACTGGTGCACCCTCAGTGTTTTTATCATTTTAGGAATTGCAATCTCTGCTACTTAAAATTTTCAGGGTTTTTTAATTCATACACTGCTTAGTGTAAACTCTTAGAACTTGCCTCTCTCTCTTTTTGTTCTGTTTGACAGCATTATTCTGTGCAGACAGGCTTTTTAAAAAACTCTCTGGGGCTGAAAACATGGCTCCAAAGAATTTAGATAGGTAGAAGATTTTGATGCTGGCTTCAAGGGGACCAGTGTTGGAGAGGTTTCAGTAGAGCATTCACTTGGCACAGAGTAAGCTTAGAACCATGCTGGGACCGTACTACATAAAAGAAAATTGCTGCAGGATCTAGAATCAGCTTGTTCTATTCAACAGGGAAGAGGAAAAAAAAAAAACAAAACCCTCCTTATGAGGAAGTTCATACATGTGTTTCTGTTTCATATCCTTGCGGAAAAATGCACCTTTATAAAGCTATCCTCCTCTCTTTTTTGTTGAGCTCCATAGATGCAGACTTTAAACATACCGTTAGTGACACTGGGTGTCTGAATACAGAGAATATCATAACGATTTAATTACATTAGAAGTCATGAAGAGTTTTGGCACTGTCCCTGTACAGAAAGTTAGGTACAACTAACACTTTGAAAACATGATAAGGGAATCGTAGAACTCTTTGGCTCTGTTGTAATACTTAACTACTAAGGCAAGAACTGTGTGTACCTTAGGGTTGCTTTTTTGTTTATATTTTTATAAAATACTTGGCTAAAAGTTTTAAAAAGTCACCTAATCATCTATAAATGTCAAATGCTGCATATTAAAATATATGCTTATTACACCTTTTTGTTCCATTACTAGAATTTTTGCATACTGATGAGAACACACACATTTGTAAACTGTTTAGTGTGAGTTTATGAAGACATTCTCCATACAAGAGAGTCTGTAGAAAATTATCAGTGAATCGAGATGCTGTAATTTAAATTGCCCGATTATCCATTTTAGAGCACTACGATCCTCTCAACAGCTTTAGCTCTTTCATTCCTATGAAGATCAACTAAAACAAGTAACAAGCCCCCCTTTTCAATGCATTTGTAAAACCGTCTCGTTGCGAGGTTTCAGGTGCACATCATAAGGAAGGATATTTCAGAGTATTCACTGGCTTTTCAGATTTCACTACATATGGCTAACTTCATATGCTAGGTTATTGCAGTATGCCCTGTTGCCCCCTTTTATTATAACATGAAGTGGGTGTAGCCTTCTGCACCGGTAACAATAACATCCATCCATATCCTCATGGCTTCTGGCGAAGGAGCAACCATATAGTATATCCGGTCATGCGTCTTAACGCTGAACGTGAGCAACGGGTTGGGACTCTAGAGTAACACAGAAAGAAGGATATCAAAAGAATGAAAGCAAAGCCATTTTCTGGCACCAGAACCAACATCCCTTACACGGAGATTTACGATGGGGTTATGGAGAACGACAAAATGCAAAATGCTGTAGCACTTCACCCTGCATTGCAGCGCTGGAAGCAGAGATGTGTTTATAGCGTTTGCATCCAGCATGAACACTTTTTACGACATATTTCCACTCACTTATTACACTGTAGTACAGGGCTTCAAACTGTTGTTTCGTGCCCAAATAACATAACTCCTCCACTCTGTCCAGTGGTCGAAACCAGCTTGGCTTTCACAAATCCCCGCGCCAAGGATATATTCAGCTTGTTCACAGCTCATTTAAATTACAGATGAGACGCAGGGGGTGCCGTGAGCCGCGGGCACCAGTTACCTCCTCCCTGTGACAGACGCATGCAGCCACCCCGTGATTTGCAAAGCCACAGATTTCAGTGGTCTTGCCCCTCGACTAAGGAATTCCTTGCAGCCAATCCCACTTGGCAGGGAGGCACGCTTATCTCTGCTTTCATCCATATTAAAAAAAAAAACACAAACAAAACCAGTGCTAATCACTGATCTGGCTTCATCTTCCTTTTCCTCCACTCCATGTTTTTTTTGTTTGTTTCTTTTTTTCCCAAATAATGTCAGCTTTCCCTTTGACTTTACAGCAGCTACCATACTTTGGGTACTGCTATACGATACTCAGTTTAAACAACAGTAACAAAGTTTACCTTATATGCATTCTTTAGGTGATCATAATAGACTTCTTCAATAGCTTGAAAATATATTACACCTTTTAATTTAGTTTCGTGTTTATCTAAAACGGAAAAGAGAGAACAACTTGAGAACTGAAATGAACAGTACTTCAAGAAGCAAAAGCTTAATTTGCATTTCCATATATGTTAGGCTAATAAGTAATTGGATGAACACTTCTGCTTGTGAAATCCTACAGAAACCTTCCACCCTTTCTTACCAGTTGCTCAGTTTTGTTGAGAGATGCATTTCCTACTTTAATAGGTTTTCTTTTCCACCTGGCTTCCAAAGAAATAAAAGCTTTTGCAATTTCCTCATCTATCCGCAAGTCACTCCCTTCACTGATGTGTCTAAACATTATGGCTGGTATTAGCCAACAGAAGGACAGATGTCTCTGAGATACTTCCAATCTTCCAATTCCATGAAAGCCAGCCAGACTTCACATAGCTCACAGGCTAAGACCTACAGTTTGCCTTCAAAGGAAAACTCTTAGGATAAGCAAATTTGAAATACAATTTGATAGCAAAAGCTTTACATTAGAACATCATTTGTGCTTGTACTTATTAAAAAAAGTGCTTCTTCCCGTTTATAGTAATCTCTCTCAGTCTCAAGCTAATGTTTATTATTCAAATGTGAGGGTAGCAGATTGTAGGCAAATTTCTATGAGCTCTGACACATGAAAAAGTTTACAGGAGGTTAAAAGTTCCTGGGCACCAGCTGCAGCATCGTAATTGTCTGTTTGCACTCTCCTACTCTGACACCCAAGGTAAAAGCCAAATTAAGCAGACACAGTTTGCCCCTGTTGCGAAAGGGAACTCCCTGTTTGCTTCAGAGCGCCTGAGGTAGAACCGCCTGAGGGGATAGTTACTCCAGGGAGGCTGCCAACAAGGAGTAGGTTGTTACCCAGTGGTACTGTGTTTCTGGTACCAGTATCCCACTGCAGCAAAGCTGACATACAGGGTGGGAGTTTTCTCACTTAAGTTTTCATATCTACAACAGAGACACAGCTGACTTAATCTCCCTTTAAAGGCCGTAGGAAGAAGCAGACACATGCAGGGGGTCAATTCTAAACTATCTTAACACATCTTCTGATGTTGCCTTCTGCCCCAGCATCAGCTAGTGAACGGTTAGAATACAGACTGTGAACTTAAAATCTTAGCAGTCACAACTGTAATGTTTCACCAGAAAAAGGAACAAGGCAGATAAGCATGTACACTCCCCTCCGGTTTCCTGCAATGGAAGAGGCATTGTTGAGTAATCCCAGAGGGTGTTAAGAAGCATCACAACTGCATGTGACACTGAAGGGCAAACTTCTTTCCACTCCCAGTGCTTTTATATTAGGGGAATGTAATGCCTTCTGACCCCAAGTCAGTATCACCTTAACACTGAACAGTCATGCATAACCTCTTCATCAGTCCCGAGAGAGATTCTGCTGTCATTTTGAACACTCACGAAACTCAGCTTACATCCTACTGGTAGCTGCAGGCAGTTTTGAAAGCGTCGTGCGATGGCAAAAATGAAATCCCAGCAACCAAACGATACAGCGCTGGGAATCGCCCTGCCAGCCCCCAGGGGACCGGTAGAAGTACTGAGGTATAAGATTATGACCTTTTAGCACTCATTATACTAAGCTAAATGCAATACTATACAAAGTACACTGTTTATGCAGTACAGACAAACGGTGATCCACTCTCCTTTTCAAGCCCCACCTGGGGTCTCGGTTACAAGAGCATTTCAGGTACCCACAAGTTCCCACCGCAACAGTCTTTGTAGAGTTCCCCGTGTGCTTCAGGTCAGAAAGTGTAGATGCTTCAGTTGCTCCACTAAATTGTCAGACTTTAGCGTAAGTTCTTTGTTCAGGACACTTACAGAAGTAAAACAATATGCCAGTGTATTCACTTAGAGTTCAATTACTCTGAATTTACAGTATCAATTTTTATTTTGGAAGTCTACTATATATTTAAAGATCTAGACAGATCCTCACTTGTACAACCAGATGCATTTTTGTACAGCTGGTACAGAATTCTCATGAAACTATGTTTGTTGGCTGGAGTCCTTGAGACATGAAAAGTTTTCCTTGGTAATTGAAATTTCATTATGGCAACTGTACTGCACACAAAACTCAAACTGTTAACTATTAACATAACTACTGAAAAAAAAAATTGGTACCAGATGGGAACACTACTGTATGTTACAGGCCTTGCTAACCGATAATCCAGATGCTAAGAACAAAGTAAAAAAATGTTTGTTACATTCTTTATAGTATTACTGCAAACTAGTAAGAAATACTCAGTATGTAGTGAATGAATGTAATGAATACAAATATGGGTTTTAAAAAAGATGGACTGAGCAATGCATAACCCTACCATCAATTTTAAGCTCCTTGTAAGTTGCTGGAAAGCACTAGTGTCATAAAAGGAAATGGAACTGTTTGGGTGTTTTTTGTACTCGATGGGTTCTTCTGCTTCTTAGCAATGACCATCCTACATATGCCCCTGTCTGGCCTCTCCTAAGAATAAATATTCAGAACACAAAGTCATTTTTCTGGCTTCCTCTGAAACTTCAAAATCAAACCATGTGTAGATTTGCACAGCAATTGCAGAAAAATAAATGTTCTTAAATTCCAAATTTCAGGGTTTACCCCAAGATAACAAATAAACATAATGCTTATAATGGCTCCAGATATCATATAACACAACTTAGTGTACAGAAACCTCTTCAGCGTATTGCATGTTGTTAATTTGAAATTCCTTGGACTGTCAAAACATGGCAAACTCAAAAAGCCTACTCCTGTACATTTAATTTCCTGAAAGACTTTTCAGCATGTCAAGCAGTGGGACTGCAGAAGCATTCAATTTAGTTTTCATGGGAAGTATAATAAATCATATTCTTGTATGAAGGGTACAAGAAATCATTCTGTCATTGGGGAAAGTATATCAAATTTAAAAACAAATTATGTGGAGCCATTATTCTGTGTATTAGGAACCTGATGATCTTCCATTTTTTCCTCTTGCCTATCTACATCTCTCCCTTTGTCTGTTATGCTCATTTCTGCCTTACCTAGCATTAGGATTGAACACTACAGGAAAGGGATTGCACGAGCTCCGAGTGTATGTTTAAAAAAGCTGACGAGACGGAAATGTAAGTTTTACTCAGGACTCCCTACAC